CCCAATGTCCTGTCCCATACTTCCCCCCTGTACTGTGCCATCCTTCCCTCACTGTCCTGTCCTATCCCCCCTCCACTGTGCCATCCTTCTCCCTGTGCCAGGTCTCGCTCATTGTTGCTGGCAGCGATTAGGTCCTTCTTTCACCAGGTCCTTGATGCACTTATTGTATCTGTCCAGCTCTGCCTTGTGTGCCTGAACTCCAAGGGCTGCAGCCCCATGATTAGAGTGCCGGCTCTGCCTCCTTAATAGGCACAGCAGCCAGCAGCAGAAATAGGTGGCCGGGATAAGAGGGGTCGGAGCGGCTCTCAGGGCAGGACATGCTGCTCATTTACAGCGGAGCCTGGTGACAGCGCACGGGAAAGTTAAGTGTGCAGAGTAGATGAAGCAGACAATGGAAGCCGAGACAACAAACACAGCCAGCATTCCTGCATTGATGGGCCCCTTCCTGGCCGAATTATACAGATGGCCCATGGTAGTCAGTGAAGCAGTATCGGCGGGAAGGGAACCTCCTCACCTACTGTTCATGTGTCATTCTCACTCGCATCCCTCTCTCTGCTCCTCCCCGCTGACTGCTGCAGCGACATCAGGCGGCTGGGGAGTGACCAACACTGCGGCGACCCACTCAAGAGGGGGCGGCGACCCACTTTTTGGTCGCGACCCACAGGTTGAGAACCGCTGGTTTAGAGCCCTTAGAAATACCGGGTATGAGCGAGCATTTGACCTCCTCCCGGGTCATATTTTACCTGAATTTCCTCCTAAAGTCCTCCTCAAAACACAAATAACACAAATAAAAATTGCACAGATTTAAATTATGAGCATGTGATCTGAGTCTGAACTGTGATCCTCTTGATTAGAGATCACATGACACAGTGCCTAGGCCTGTAGATATGTGGCTCACACTGAATAGAACATACAGCAGCATTTTCCCCAGTAAGGCCTGAGGCAGAAGCATGTGCAATGCTGCTTGTGATACCGGATCGCATGTTGCAATGTTGGGTGCAATGTAATGCCATTGTGTTTTGATAGCACCCCAATGCACCTAGCCATTACATGTGCGATGTATGGCCCCACATCGCATGGTCTTCTACCATTTGATGTGGTGCAATGCGATTTTTAAAAAATGGTGCGCGCACTTCTTTCAGTGCAATTTAGCTGTGCAATGAATGGGCTGGGCTGCCCTACTGCTGCACATTTTCCTATTCTGAATAACTCTGGTTAAATGTAAAGTCCTGTTTTTTTCTGTTTCAGAGCTTCAAATGGCGGCGCAATGTGTGACCAAAGTGGAGCTGAGCATTTCCTGTGACAACCTTCTAGATAAAGATATTAGTTCCAAATCTGATCCTTTGTGTGCTTTCCTAATGAACACCAATGGCCAACAATGGTTTGAGGTATGTAATATGATTGCTATGGTGTATCTTTTTATTAAACAGTATTTAATAGTATTTGTGGGGTCTATGTTGGGCTCTGCGGGGTCTATGCTGGGCTCTGCATGGTCTATGGTGGACTGTGCAGGGTCTATGGTGGGCTCTGCAGTAGTGAGGAGCGGAGTGATCTGTTCTTTGGCTCTGATGTCAGAGCCAGCAGTATCAGAGGTGAAGAGAAGGAGACAGAGATGGAGCAGGCACGGGAACATGTTCTGGAAGTAGGTACTTTTTTTTGGGCGGGGGCCCATACAGAATTTTCCTATGGGGCCCTGTGATTTCTTACGCCCTTGATGAATACATTGTTTAGTCACATGCACAAGAGTAACTGTGATCATCGGGTTCTTGGTCACCTCTCCCCGATTACTCAGTTTGGCCAGGCAACCAGCTCTTGGAAGAGTCCTGGTTGTGCCAAACTTCTTCCATTTGAGAATTTAGGAGGCCACTGTGCTCTTAGGAACCTTTGTTGCAGCAGACATTTTTTTAAAGCCATCCCATGTACTTGCATTTAAAAATCAATATTTTAATTTTGCTCAAACATGAGTTTCCTTGAAAATGTCAAAAAATCTTTCTCGCTTGCTTCTTACATTTCGGTGTAATTAGCATGGAGTGGCCTAAGTACAATTTAGTTTAATGATGATTGGAATCTTGTTTTTTTTCAGGTTGATCGCACAGAAAGGATTTCAAATTGCCTAAACCCGAGGTTTGCTAAGAAGTTCATGATTGACTACTACTTTGAAATAGTTCAGAAAGTGAAGTTTGGCATCTATGATATTGACAATAAAAGCTACGATCTGAGTGATGATGATTTCCTGGGAGAGCTTGAATGCACCCTGGGACAAGTAAGTGTATTTCCAGTTTCATGTTGGGGCAGAAACATTTGCAAGAGAATAACTGCGTGTCCCCGAGACAGGAAGGTACAGACAGCAATAAAAACCTGAAAGAGGTTCTAACCCTATCCCACTCTATATAAAATAATAAGAAACATATTGGCTGGAGTTTGGCTTTAGGGTTCTGCCCCACCCCAGCTACATCATGCCTACTGACATATTGTGGGAGATGCATTTTTTGCCTTACATAGTTACATAGTATTTGGGGTTGAATAAAGACATACGTCCATCAAGTCCAACCCATATAGGTCCACGCATCATCTCATTCTTAGGGATACTGGTATCACTGGATATTACGGTCCCTCAAGAAATTGTCCAAACGTTTCTTGAACAAATCTACTCTCTTGGCTAAAATCACTGCCCATGGCAGTGAGTTCCAGACCCTAACCGCTCTTACTGTAAAGAACCCTCTTCGCCCATTGTGCTGGAATTTTTTCTCCACCAACTTTAGGTAGTGGCCTCTAGTCTTTGTAATGGAGTTAATCTCAAACAGTTTGTTGCCAATGTTGCTGTCACCATTGAACATCTTGTACATGAAAATCATATCCCCCTTAATTCCAGCATAAACATGTTTAAGGTCAGAAGCCTTGTCTCATAGCTCTGGTCCTCCATTCCCCTAATTAGTTTTGTTGCCCTCTGCTGGACTCTCTCCAGTTCAAGGACATCCCTTCTCAGTACCGGCGACCAAAACTGGGCCGCGTGCTCCAGATGTGGCCGAACCAACGATTCATAGTTGCTCAGTTTTGACAAGTTAAAAATGAGTAGCTAACCATGGGCTCTGATTTGTTTTTTTTAAATTGTGTACAGCATTGTTAGTAGCACAGTAATGGTTGTTTGTAGGAAATGGCATTGGGTATGGGGTTTAAGGTTGCCTGTATAGCACAGTATGGTGATGTGATCCTCTTCTTAACATATGGTATAAGGTATAGAGGGCGTTCCTGTGACCATTCTGCTCTGAGTTACAGAAAGTTCTTAAACACAGTCGTTACATATCTTCCCCTGCTGACATGTAAGCGCTGTTTACCGAGTTTGGGAACAGGTTGCTTTCTATTGGGTGGTGGCAAGGCACATGCTACTGGGATAGACTGGGATATGTGAAGTATAAAATAACCATTGACATATTACTACAGTTCAGCTTTAGAATTGCTGAAGGGGTAACACCCATGTTATTGACAGCTCATTTTTATTGATTATTAATACTTAAATTTCTGTTTTTGTTTTTAAGATCGTGTCTAGTAAGAAACTGACAAAACCACTTGTAATGAAAAATGGCAGACCAGCAGCCAAAGGAACAATAACGGTATAGTCATCCATCGTCATTTTTATTTGCTTTCATTTTGTTTGTGCTGATTTTACTTTGCCTAATGCCCTCTTATACCATGTTGTATTAAGCTGAAAGGAGAAATAAACTCTGACCTCTTTTAAAATATTAAACTCCATGAGACCATAATGTGTATGCATGCATACTTGCAAAACAGTGTTTTCTGTGGCTGTCCCAGATGTGAACCCCAGGTTCTCCATGAGTGGCTGGATGTGGCTGGATCTGTGCAGGCCATATAGCTCAGTGGTTTAAAGCTGGCCATACACCAGTAGAATTTGGTTTGAATATGTTTTTTTCTGAACATTCGTTCAGAAAGAAGAAGAACTATGAGGTGAGTGCTTTTCACTCGCCTCATAGTTCTAGCCGACCTGTGACAATGAGACTGTCACAGGTCGGCTCAGTAGATCGGGAGGTGAGCGAACACATAGCGGCGTTCGCTCACCTCTCGATCCTGTCACGGCTCTCTGCCGTGACAGGGGAGGGGCTGGATTCCCCCCTGCCCGCTCTGATCCGCAAGTCAGTGGGGGAGGGGACGGGTACAGCTGGCTCTGCCTCTAGATAGGCAGAGCCAGCTGTCAGTCATGCAGCTGGGCGGATCCAGACATAATTGTCGGGATCCGCTTCAACTGTGGCGTCTCAGTATATACTGAGCCTAGGGTGATGGGAGGACGCTAGTTTGTGTCCTCCCGTTACCCTAAGGAGAACTATGGGGAAAAGCCTTAACCCCATAGTTCTCCTTTAAATTCTAACAGCGAATTAGGTTTTCGTTACGGAAACTCCATTCATTGCAAAATTGAATGAAGTTCCAACATATGTCAAGTCTCTGACGACATTATCGAATGTTCTGAGAGAACTTTCCACACCTCCTTCATAGAATGATTGAACCACTGTCAGGTTGTTATTGATGTATGTCTCCTGTTGGGAAGAGTTACTCTCTTTGACTCTCCTAATCAACAATGTCACCCCGAATGGGACAAATCCGAAATATTGAGTTGCCACCAGAACAGGAAAGGAGGGGAAATATTCTAATGGGGACACTTGTTCCCATGAAAACTGTCTAAGAGGGAATTTCCCTCACATTTTAAAGATATCCTCTCCTGTTGAGCCTACAGGACAGGAAGTGAGAGGATATCTTTGTGTATCTTAGTTTACTAAGGGAAATATGCCTAATGAGACATAGATGGAAAAAAATTACTGTAGTTTTAACACTCCCCTACTCTATTAAAAATAAAAAATTGGGAGTTAGTTTAAAAAAACTAATAAACTAATCAGTTAAAGGGAAGACATAGGAGGAGCCATATCACAACAATGTGATTCATTTATGAAGACAGCTTTGTAATTGTACCTCTGCATTTGTAATGCGGTAGATTCCATTCATTCACATTACAAGAAACGGCCATTGAATCCACATTAAAGATGCCGCAAGCAACATTACATTGCCATTCAGAGCCAAGGTAAATAGTTCACTTAATAGCCTACCACTTGTGCTGCAGATATTCTCCTTCCCTGTGCTCCCCCAGAGCCTTGTAAAATACCCTGTACTTTTAGGCATGGGGAGCATGTGACTTACTCTTCTCTTCCTCCCACACTGCATTTTTTTGGTACTTACTGCCCAATTGCCAGGCCTCAGCACTGTCCCATGTGGGCAAAGCCTAGCCTTAGCCTTGTATTATGTCCAATCTGAAGTTGCACAGGCTCTAGCAAGTGCACAGGGTTGCTGTTTGTTTTGCCATTGAATTTTCCTAAAACACATAGGTGTTAATGTAACTTTGTGTATCTTGGTTCTTAGAAGGGAGCATATCTTTCACAACAATGCTTCAGTACTGGTTTCTACTTTTATTTTAGATATTTGCAGAAGAGGTTAAGGATAACAGAGTGGTACAGTTTGAAGCAGAAGCCAGAAAATTGGACAATAAGGTAAAAGGCGGATCTTTACTAATTATATTTGAGATCCTTGTAGCTTTCAGATTTTTGACCTTCTTGGTCAGTGGTCCATGTACAGTGGTCTTGTACAGTCTTGCTTCGAGTGTTTTTAATGTAATTAATGTGTTCAGAGTGTGGCAAGGAATGTAATATATTAAATGTATTAATGTGTATGGAAATTTTGCAGGATTTCTTTGGAAAGTCGGACCCTTACTTGGAATTTTACAGGCAGGCAGATGATGGAAGATGGCAGATGGTCCACAGAACAGAAGTAAGTGCATTTATAAGTAGTATGAGAGGTGCAATATAATAATGTGTCCCTAATGTTTTTTATGCTAATAGCATAGATGAATCAACTTTGATGTATATGCAGCAACTTTAACTAGTTACTTTTATAAATCTGCCACCATGCAGGGCACAAACTTTCAGTGGTTGTTTGTTTCTGAATGATAAGATTTAAAGGAGAACTATGGGGTCTGTGTTTTTCCCCATAAGCTCTGCCTCTAGATAGGCAGAGCCAGCTGTCAGTCACGCAGCTGGGCGGATCCAGACATAATTGTTCGGATCCGCTTCAGCTGCGGCGTCTTAGTATACCGCGAGCAGCAGCTCGCGGTATACTGCGGCATCTCAGTAGCTCGCGGTATACTGAGCCTAGGGTGACGGGAGGACGCTAGTTTGTATCCACCCGTTACCCTAAGGAGAACTATGGGGAAAAGCCTTAACCCCATAGTTCTCCTTTTAAATTCTAACAGCGAATTAGGTTTTCGTTACGGAAACTCCATTCATTCCAAAAGTGAATGAAGTTCCAACATATGTCAAGTCTCTGATGACATTATCGAATGTTCTGAGAGAACTTTCCACACCTCCTTCATAGAATGATTGAACCACTGTCAGGTTGTTATTGATGTATGTCTCCTGTTGGGAAGAGTTACTCTCTTTGACTCTCCTAATCAACAATGTCACCCCGAATGGGACAAATCCGAAATATTGAGTTGCCACCAGAACAGGAAAGGAGGGGAAATATTCTAATGGGGACACTTGTTCCCATGAAAACTGTCTAAGAGGGAATTTCCCTCACATTTTAAAGATATCCTCTCCTGTTGAGCCTACAGGACAGGAAGTGAGAGGATATCTTTGTGTATCTTAGTTTACTAAGGGAAATATGCCTAATGAGACATAGATGGAAAAAAATTACTGTAGTTTTAACACTCCCCTACTCTATTAAAAATAAAAAATTGGGAGTTAGTTTAAAAAAACTAATAAACTAATCAGTTAAAGGGAAGACATAGGAGGAGCCATATCACAACAATGTGATTCATTTATGAAGACAGCTTTGTAATTGTACCTCTGCATTTGTAATGCGGTAGATTCCATTCATTCACATTACAAGAAACGGCCATTGAATCCACATTAAAGATGCCGCAAGCAACATTACATTGCCATTCAGAGCCAAGGTAAATAGTTCACTTAATAGCCTACCACTTGTGCTGCAGATATTCTCCTTCCCTGTGCTCCCCCAGAGCCTTGTAAAATACCCTGTACTTTTAGGCATGGGGAGCATGTGACTTACTCTTCTCTTCCTCCCACACTGCATTTTTTTGGTACTTACTGCCCAATTGCCAGGCCTCAGCACTGTCCCATGTGGGCAAAGCCTAGCCTTAGCCTTGTATTATGTCCAATCTGAAGTTGCACAGGCTCTAGCAAGTGCACAGGGTTGCTGTTTGTTTTGCCATTGAATTTTCCTAAAACACATAGGTGTTAATGTAACTTTGTGTATCTTGGTTCTTAGAAGGGAGCATATCTTTCACAACAATGCTTCAGTACTGGTTTCTACTTTTATTTTAGATATTTGCAGAAGAGGTTAAGGATAACAGAGTGGTACAGTTTGAAGCAGAAGCCAGAAAATTGGACAATAAGGTAAAAGGCGGATCTTTACTAATTATATTTGAGATCCTTGTAGCTTTCAGATTTTTGATCTTCCTGGTCAGTGGTCCATGTACAGTGGTCTTGTACAGTCTTGCTTCGAGTGTTTTTAATGTAATTAATGTGTTCAGAGTGTGGCAAGGAATGTAATATATTAAATGTATTAATGTGTATGGAAATTTTGCAGGATTTCTTTGGAAAGTCGGACCCTTACTTGGAATTTTACAGGCAGGCAGATGATGGAAGATGGCAGATGGTCCACAGAACAGAAGTAAGTGCATTTATAAGTAGTATGAGAGGTGCAATATAATAATGTGTCCCTAATATTTTTTATGCTAATAGCATAGATGAATCAACTTTGATGTATATGCAGCAACCCAGCAACCAGACATTTAAAGTATACTTACTTTAACTAGTTACTTTTATAAATCTGCCACCATGCAGGGCACAAACTTTCAGTGGTTGTTTGTTTCTGAATGATAAGATTTGAGCGTGTATGGCCACCTTCAGAGCTCAATGTATATCAACTGCCCGAGACCCAACACCACTAAATGATTTCTGTTAGCAGCTACATTTTGCATTTTTCTTATCCGTTTCCTTTTAAAGTGAACCTTATCTGATCTTAAAATTTCCCAGAGAGTAACTATGTTGAAGTGCATGGACCTAGTGGTGTCTGCCAGTATCATTGTTAGTATTCAGATCAATGTCTGTGCCACTGCGAAATCCCCCTGCATCTCAGGTTCAGACTTTGCATGGTGCCTTCACTTCATCCCAAGAAAGCATCGGTATGTGTTCGCTCACTACCCGATCTACTGAGCCGACCTAAATAGAATTTTTTTTTGCTGCACTCCATTCCATGTTCTGTATGTAGACCGTGGATAAATATTTTTTTTAAACTGTATATTTTTATTTAAATTTCAAAGTATACAATGAAAACAAAAGACAACAAACCTTTGAGACTGTAGATATTGTAACGTGTACAATTATTTTCCAGGTGGTTAAAAATAATCTGAATCCTGTTTGGAGACCCTTCAAAATACCACTACGGTCCCTTTGCAACGGGGACATGGAGAAGCCAATCCGGGTAAGAATATTTGTTAGTATTATACTTTTTAAAATTGTGCATATGTGCTTCTCAGAATATATAACCATCAGCTCTTCAGGACAGCTTGTCAAACTCTGGAGGAAATTTGTATGGTGCATATCTTTGATAGTAGCGAGGCACAGGAAAAGCATCCAATGCATCTGATATTTTCTTATAGCTTCATTAAAGGAAGCATGTCAAGAAAAAATGAGGAGGCTGTCTTGCTGACATCTCCATCTGAAAATACCAGGTACTTGGCTGTTATGGTGATGCATAAGTTAAATACTTTCTCAGTCACTGACTTGGAAAAAAA